GAAGGGAGTTGATGGCATATGAGAATTGATGAGACCGATTTAAAAGTGTGTATTTTTATACGGGATATGTTATTTTTAGGACCCTCCAATTATAAGGGAAATGCTGAAATTTCGATAGAAAATAGAGAAAAAATAAGGCTTACATAACCCATGATGGGCCACCCTACCTCGAGCTACGTGTCGATCACGGCTCGCTAGTTTGGATCATGACATTTGGAAGTCTTACTTCTTTTTTTAAAGCCTTTAGGTCTTTTTTTTATTCAAATAGTAAAAAGAAGTTTAGTAAAATTCAAACAAATCAATAAAAAAGTGTTTGATGAATTTTCAAAAGTTAATTTATGATAAACTTCTATTTGACATAGCAACATCATAACAAAATCTATTACCAAATATTTTTACTACCACAATCGGATCATACTTAATAACTCCAATCATACAAAAACTATAACAATACCAAATTACAAAAAAAAAACCTAAAACAGGTGATGGATTCCTTGTTTCTAAACTATTCATTCTTACCCAAATGTAAAGTGGAATAGAGTCGCCAAGTTTTGAGTTGTTTGATCCTTCCTCTTTTCATTTTGCTCCATCTCTCGTTTGTTGATTTGCTTCTTTGTTCGTTGATTTAGTGCCCTTTCTCCATTTTCGTTGGTTTTTCATTGCCTTTCATTTTCATCATTCAATTATATCCTTAATTGTTTCTTTGCCATTTTGGACACTTATTAGGTTATGGTTATGCCTTCCTTTCCTATCTCGCTTTCCCCTCTAATTTTGTTCACATTATTGTCGTTTTTCCTGTTTTTCTTGGGAGCATTAAATGCTCTACAATTACTCCTTGCCTCGTTGTTTGCTTCTTCTTTTTTTTTTTTACTCTCGATGCTTCCCATGTCAATATCTCATAAGTTTTTTGAAATATTACGGCTCCCATTATTCAATTGGGATTGATGTTCCCTTTGGTTCCTCTAACTCGTGATGGTCCTTTTTGGGGGTGTTTTTCCAATCCTTTTTGGTTGGGTTTTGATCTTTTTAGATTTTATGGGTTTTTGGTCTATGTGGCCTATGCAATGGTTCTTGTCTTTGGGGTTCTTGTGTTTCCCTCGAATGCGGGGTTGTTTTTTGGAAGTGTTGTTGGGGATTCGGGTTGTTGGTGTTTTTCTCCACCTTTACCCTTGGCTTTGGCTCTTGTGGAACTACATAAGTTTGCTTCTTTATCATTTGGTTTTCCTCTTCATTTATTCTTTTCTCATTTTTGTCTTTTTCATCTAATTGTACTTCGCCCTACTTCTCTTCACGAGCAAATGCCCATGTTGTAGTCCATTGTTGTGTTTTTGTTTAACTTATTACACTATTTTATGTTCTACTTTTTGATAGTTTTGCCTCTCATTCCTACCTTAAAATAACCGATCCTTCTTCTTGATGGTTTCATTTTCTATCCCTCAAACTTCGATTATTCTTTTTCCTTATTCGTCGCCTCTTTTTTTCCTTGCTCTTCCTCCGAATTGTACAATGGCCCTTTGTTTGTGCTTATTGTTTGCTATTTTCATTGATTTATTTGGTAAGTTTGGTCTCATTTTTCCATTTCCTGTTCGTTCCACCTCTTTTTCATTTTTTATTATGGGTCGTTGTTTTTATTGTCTTCCCTATGCTTTATTTTTTCTCGCTTCTTCATCCTGTTTCTATAGTTGGGTCATGATTGTCGTGTTATTTCTTTCCTATTTCGAGTTCGCATATTTTTATGTGTTGGATTGATCTTTCTAGCTTTATTGAGATATTTCCTTGATCATATCTCTTCAATTTCTAAATTAGAACAATGGTGTCTTGATTTCTTTTTTGCTTATGGTTGTGTTAGGTTGAACTTACAAGAAAATTGTTTGACGAAATGTCTCAAATAAATTTGATTGTCTTATTGATTTGGTTTGCCACTCGTAAATGAGGTGTTTGATGAAATGTTTCATACAAACTTGATTGTCCTATCATCGGATTATTTGTTTCTTGTTCTCTCTTTTCAGCCATAATTGTCTTGGGTTTGTGTGGTTTTAAATATTGCTTATGGTTATGTTGGGTTGAACTTGCAAGAAAAGTGTTTGATGAAATGTCTCAAGTAAACTTGATTGTCCTATAATTAAAATCTTTATTCATTCCAATTTTTTTTTCCGAGTCATAGTTCTGTTGGCTTTTGTTCGCTCTAGATATTGCTCATGGTTATGTTGGATTGGATTCATTTGATATAATGGCAATTTGAGTGCATTCAAGTAAATGTAAGAAAAACACATTCGGTTTCGGAAAAGAGTGAAAGACAGTACGCAATTCATGAGACAAGTTGAGAATGTATTTGGCTAAGATCAACGATCCATCATATCCGAGAGACATACGGTTTATCTACCAAAGAAGAAGTTCCAACAATATTAAATGAAAATTCAATTAGAGAAAGAATATATCAAAGTGACAATCCGACTGACCTTAGTTATTAAGGCATTATCTCAATTTTTGAAAAAATTATTCACAAGATTGAGATGCATCGTCTTAAAAATCTTAAATGATGTTTTTAATAGAGGAAGTCTAACATAGCGATTAATGTGTACAAGGAATATATTTTTTTTTCATTCATTAGGATTTTTTCTAATAAGACTTTAACGAGGCATGTTTTTGTATGATGGACATTAAAGGAGGAATGTTATAAAATAATGAATGTCTATATGAATGTTCATATGCTTTTCATATCCCCGCTACTAATAATTCTTTAATGTGATTCAATTCACAATTTAATATGAGAAATTTAAAGGATTATGTGATTGATTCAATAATTTATTTATTTTTAATGGTTCATAGTCCCTTTTAATTCTTATTCTAATCTTGAAATTTATAAATAAGTTTGATTGTTCATTAGTTTGCGTATAAATATTTTGTAGATATTGAGAAAAATATTTAAAGTTGTTATTTCTTGTATTCATTTTATTTTATATATTGAATTTATTTTTCTATCAACTTTCTCTTCAATTTTACTATTTCTTTTATAACACGATTAGATTATTCTTTTTTTTTCTTTTTCCAATCCCGATAATTTCACACTGTTATATTTGGATCATGGATTTCAAGGCAAATAAGATGAAGTAATATATTCTTTCCTATCTCTTTCAAATCCTCATCCTAACTCTCCCTTCTTCTTCTTCTTCTTCTTCTTCTTTTTTCTTAATACAAAAGCCAGAGAGTGTTGGCTTTTATACTCGATTACTTTAACGTGACTTTAAAAGATTTAAAGCCTTTATCTCTGTCTCTCTCTTTTAACATAAGTATAGTTTAGGCCAAAATAGGAGAGATCCAAGCCCAACATTTCTTCCCTTTTACCTTGCCTCGCCTTTGTTTGCTCCCTCAACTTGTTCCCAAACAGAGTTTAGGGATCTAACTTTAAGATATCTCAAAACTTTAGGGATGACATTGCAACTGCCTTCCAGAAAACATAAAAATGAAATTCCAAATTTTGATTAATTTATGGGGCTCAAATTTTAATGTTCAATATTCTACGATCAGTGCATCCTGAAGCACTGTGCGACGATGAAGCTAGGTTTGCAGGGACTGTGAAGGTACTATCTCAACTTAGCCACGTTTAAACATGCTCACAATTCCAGGGAACTAATTCGGTTTTTAGCTTTTTGTAGTTGATGGACAGCCTGATTCCCACAATGAGTGTCAAAGGTTGGTCTGATGAAGGTTTACGAATAGTTGCCATTTTTTCCTTGATTTTGCACGAATCCACCAACAAAGTACTTCTAGAAGCTTCAAAATTTATATTTTTCAGTACTTCTCTGGCGTCTACTATCAACAGCATGATCCGTGCAGCCTGTTCGAAGGACCTGCGCAGCTTGATTATAATGAGGAAACAAGCACGGGAGAAAATCTGATATTTGCACTTTTACTTCCCTATTTCTCTTTAAGAAGGTAACAAGTCTGACTCACAGATTGCAAGATGTGATTCTAACTTCATTTTGTTTTAGTATACATCCTGTTCTTCCTGGGACTGTGGAGTTTGTTTAGTGTTCACCAATAGTGTTGGCAGAAGGGCCTCGTAAACCCTGGAGTTTAACTAATTTCCTACTGTACTCTTCTAATTTAGGAACTCCAGTCCCCACTAAAAAATCAACCTCACTGGACAATGTGCAGTCCATCGACATCTAACTATAACAGGAAATGTTGCAATTCCTTATAAAATGGAATATAAAAGGACAAACAAGAAAAAAAGTCTTACCAATGAAGATCCATTTAACATATTTGGGAATGAAAAACCAGCAAAAAGAAAAAATAATATATATATGACGAGGGAAACATCCATGGAATTTTCTGCGCTTCCAAAACAAATGACAGTTCCTCTATGTCCAAACATGCTACGTAACGCACAAAGGGACTAGGAAGAGAAGAATCTCAATTACTAGGAACCAACAAAGAAAGTTGCCATCAGCGGAGAAAAGCAGAGGAGATGCTCCTCCTCTGCTCCGATGTCTCGTCACAATTCTTGCACTTATGGCACCAATCGACAACAATTTGATCTCTCTTGACGAGAATATTAGCATTCAAGACTTTATCCAAAGTGATGCCCATATAAAGAACGCAACTCTAGAGGGGTGGCGTACACCTGGCAAATGCTCCTCTTCCAAAGGAAGATAGCTCTATAATGGCATAACCCTCTCCAAGCATACTGTAATAGGAGATTATGACCGGCTTTCTAATCTATAAATAAAGATGTTTGTGGAAATGCATCAGGTTTACTCTCACATGGCATGGATAGCCAGCCAGTAAAGACGAAAGCAGTAAAGGAAAAACCAAGCACATAGGCATTGTTTCATGGAGAAAACCATAAGGCCATTTTGGCACCAAGTGATACAAAGGAACCATGTACAGCTTTCCACATCATGCTTCCTATAGAAGTGATGCCTTCACTTGTGAACAGAAATTGATCTAATCAATGCAACCCTGATGAGCTCGCATATCTTGAGTCTCAGTTTCATTCAACTTCCATTCATTTGAAGCTGCTTTTCCCTTTGCTTTTCTTTAGTCACTAAATTTATGAAATTGATGTAAGTCCACCTTTTCTTTTCTCTAGCACTAGGTTCCAGGGAAGAGTAGGCCTCTTCACAGCTTCTGAGGAACCTCCCCTTACCAAAAGCAGAGAGAACCAAAGGATCAGTGTGCATTTCTACATGTCTATAAAGAAAACCCACCTTTCTCCACATCTCTAAAATCTCTTTTCCATTAAAACCAATTTCCTCTGCATCAAGAAGAATTCCAAAAGTAACCATATCAGGCTCCACGCGACATTCTGGTAACCTAGAGAATAAGATCCTCAAGCGGGTGAAATCTTTCATCTTCAAACATGCTAGCAAGATAATGTTTGCAACTGTCACATTCCAACAAGCATTTGAATCTTCCATCTCCCTAACAACAGCATCCATGCCTCTTCGACTCGAAAGACAAGCATGAGAAAGGAGGTGTAGGCACCAAACAATATCGGTCTGACCAGTTCTAGAAGTAAGATCAACAGCCAAGTCGTGTAGTCTCGAAAACATGTAGTTTGCAATATAAACCCCAGCTAATTTCCTGACCAACTCATCCTTTACAGTGACTTTTGAGTTCCATGTCCATCTTAAAATCTTCTCCATCTTCTCCACGATCCCGAAACTAGCATATGCCTCAAGCATCGAAATCAAAGTAGAAGACTGCAACTTCATCCTTTTGGTTCGCATAGACTGATATATCCTTTCCATTCTTGTCAGCAGTCCACCTCGCGCAAACTCTTGGATAAGCAAATTATAAGTATAGCGATCCGGTGAACACCCATCCAGCTCCATCTTCTTCAGACACATACCCATCTCATCATACATTCTATACTTCCCATAAGCTTCGATCAACCCATCATAAGTATCACTTTCCAGACGCAAATTCATTTCTTTCATGTGCTTAAGGTAAAACAAAGCATCATCAAACTTTCCATTTCTTGCATAACCATGAATTATTGAATTGTAAACCTGTAAGGATAGGCAGAGACCAAAACTTTTCATTTCCAAAAATGCAGAAACTGCATCTTCCATTAGACCCTCTTCGCCTAACAACCCTACAATCTTCTCGTAATTGAACTCATTAATTCTTGTTTTCTCCGTGTCCCTCCACATATGAAACACCTGTCAAACATCCCACAACAGAAAGGAAAAAAAATTCAATTTCCTTGCTGCTAAAAATTTAAATAAGCTCGCATCATTCCATCCAGAACATATCAGATAAAACCCAATGATAAAAAAAACTAAAATAAAAATTAATTAATGTGTGCGTGTGAGAGAGAGAGAGAGAGAGAGAGAGAGAGGGAGGGAGAGACAGAGTACCGGAAGAATCTGATTGGATCTTCCAGAATGTTTAAGGAATTTGATGACAGCCCAGAAGTGATCTCTGGACCAATCTCCATCCTGTTGAAGCAGTTGCAAAGGGTTTTGGTTGTTTTTGAGGTTGTCGAGCAAGGACTTGAGCCTCTTGTGTTCATGAAAGCTCTCAACCAGAAGCGTTGTGTGTTTTGTAGAGTAGTCTTGGCTCTGGGAGATGGCATGGGCTGCTGGGTGGCGAAAACAGAGAGGTAAAGAAGGGGTAGTTACCAGGGTTTTGTAGTTGTTGTTGAAGAATTTCCATGTCCACGGTGGTGTTGAATGGCTTTGCAGAAGTGGCACCACCGTCTTCATTTTAGCTCCTCATATTCCGTCTACCATTTCTCGCTTGTAGTTATCCGGCTTCAGTTACTGGGCAGGCCCCTTCATCCCTTCCTCGTTCAAAGATATCATTTATTTTTAGGAAAACTTCAAATTTAGTCCTCTAAATATATATAACCATTTCGGTCAAGTCTCAAACTATCTATTTTATCAATTTGATTTTAAATGTTTCAAAAAACTCTTAATCAGATCTATCTGTTAATGTTCATCAATATTACCACAAATTGAAACCATTTGAGTGCACAAAATATTTATATTTGACCCAAACTATTAATGTTATCGATTTTTTGGACAAATTTTCTTCAAATCTACACAAATTTAGTGCATAAAATAAGCACTATAAATAGAAGAAATTGACAGAAGGATGCAATTGAAAATCTTAAGGTCTAATTAATAACACTTAATAGGTTTGGGATGCATTGAGAATAGGCATATAGGTTTAGAACTAAGTTGAGGATTCTCCTATTATTTCATAAAGTGTCTCTAAGAATAAACTCCTATCCCTTACCCCTCAACATTCCTCCAAAATTTTCACCTCATGAAGAGATCTGCACCCAAGAAAACATGGACTAGACCAAAGCAAACACTGCTGAGTTTCGTTCCGTTTCGTCTCACAGAAACAATGAGAATGAAGACATCAAACTAAACACAAATCATCTGAAAAAATCCTCATCTGCACCCATTAGGCTATTATACACAACAACCGCATATCCATATCACATTACTAGCCGGAAAGGGAAAGAGAGGTGCAGGAAGAGCAAAGTTTCCATCAGATGAACAAGAAAACACCAGGACTAGAACACTCTTCGATACTAATACTAAACCAATGAGGAATACATATGTACTTCTAAGTCCACCAACGTCCAAAATTACCTCGAACACCATGTAGGACAATATTGTGATGGTGATCAGAGTTCAACAAGCACAAATCTTCACTATAGCTAGTTCAAACATTCCTATATTACATAGCCAAGTGCACTAACTGTCCTAGTTTACAGATGAGCAACAAACAAATTGGGCCCAGTATGGTCTTCCCTTGACTTTCCTCTTTTCCCTCTTAATATCTGCAGGATACCTTGCTGGAGAACTCCATGCTTTCTCTTCTTCCTTGACAGGCTCACCTACTGGTTCTTGAGGAACCAGAATCGAGCTCGCTGTTTTAGACAAAGCACCATTATCTTTAGCAGTGGGGTCACCTTTTTCAACTGGTATTTCCTTAGCATTTGGTGACTTAGATTTAGTTTCCATGCTTGCCTCACCCAAAAGGCTCTTCAAAGGAGTATGTTGTTGGCTCTGCAAGGGAGGGTGTTGTTTCCCCGTGCTCCAGTTTGTGACCTTGGCAATAATCTCCTCATTCTTCTTTCTCCCCTGTGACTCATTCACAACATTAGTAATGGAAGGAAACCAACCAGCCTGTACAGAAGCAGCTTTTGGCTGTTGTAGGTTCTGTGTTGTATGGATATCAGATGCAGCAGCTTTCTGGTTAACTCCATCTCTAGGTTCAACCAAAGTCATGAAAGATGGGGGCTCAAAAATATCTGATTTATCAGCATGTTCTGTCTCAGAAGCAGCTATTGGCTTCTTCAAGTTGGCTTTCTCTGCTTCTGATAATGCTTGGGAACCATTTGATGGCAAAGGCTCAGCATCAAGTACAGGCAGTATATCCGATTGGGTTGAAAGCACTGTTCCAAGGATTAAAAACAACAAAACAGATTGAATTAATGGAAACATGACAAACCTTGTTCTGTTAAGGTATCAAAATAAGATAAATATGCATAAATTAGAAGCATCATGGAAAGGACGGTTTGCAAATGAGCTGACAAAATATGTTATAGATGCTCTAAGGAGCTAATCCTAATCAAGAATAAGCAATTAAATGACTGGACGAGTTTGGGTTGTGTAAGGTTTTGTTTGGAACATATTAGCAATTGTAACAAATGTGCGTTCGAGAAGTATCATTGAAAACACCTAACGAAATTTGATAACCTAAGGTGATTTATACAACCCTCTGTAGTATGCAAATGCAAGATATCATGGGGCATTGGGTCCCAATTAGTCGCTACATGTCACACCTACAAAAAATAGAATGACTTGGAAGAGTAGTGGTAAATCTGGAATTGAAGTTGTCTGCTATTGAGTTAACTAGGACAGAATTGTATTGCAAACATACCTGAAACAGAACCCCAATGACCTTCCAAACTATCAGTTTGGCTACTTGAATCAACTGAAAAGTCAGTAGCAGATGCAACAACCTGTTGCGTAACTAAGTTATTATTATCACCTTCATCAGGCAAAGACTCAAGTGGATTCCCAGATGCAACTCCAAGAAAATCTCTGGTCTGACTATCTGCAACAAGGGAAGAATTTTGAAGGGAAGATGAAGTCACTGAAGGAGAAACTAGAGGCTCTCCCACCATTTTGTCTTGTGAAGACTTCCATAATACCTCAACATCTCCAACATTATCTGATTCAGCAGCTGCACTAACTTCGACAGCATGCTCAACTCGTAGATTGGCCATACTGTTGCTTTCAGGTTCCTTTCTGCTTTCCTGAGGATCCAAAACTCTACCTAAATCTGTGCGTTCATGTTCTGGCAACTTGCCCTCACACACATTAATTTCATTCTCTCGGGTAGTATGGGATTCAACATTGACAGCAGGTTCAGGTGTTGTTTTTGGATCCCTCAGGAGATTTTCCTCCCCCAATCCAGATACAGAATCACCTTCAGTTTCAATTTCAGACACATTGCATCTTTCTATTTTACCCTCTACAAGCCCAGCAGCTTTGACATCTCCAAGTATGCTGTTCCTGTGATCTACTTGTTCTGAGGGAATACTAGTATGTTCAGAAGTTGGTATTCTGTTTTCTGCAAAACTCTCATCTGTATTTGTTTCATTTTCGTCATTTACAGCTATTTCAGAACTTTCAATTTTATCTTTTTCACCATTACCAGCATCATCCATGCCAACTAAGTTTATCTGCCTGACTTCAGCATCCATTGGCACAACCACAGTGTTAGTATCAGATATGGCTGCAGTAGCATGCTCTATAGAACTTGTTAGAGATGAAGTTTCACAAGGATCACGAGGTACCTCTTCTTCAGGAGATTGAACAGAGATGCTCTTCTTCAGAGAAGAAGTACCTGTCACAACATCTGTTACACCAACTTCGGACCTCTGGGGCACATCTGCTTCTGCTTCATCAGGCAATCCTTCAACAATAAGCTGGCTGGCCCCATCTATTGGTTCAAGGTTATCATCCAAAACATGCACATCTGATGCAGAGACTTCAGTGCCCTCAGTCAATGGCCTTGAGTTAAAACCCGAAGGATCATCCTTAGTGCCAGAATCCTTAATATTTTTAAATACTTCAAATGAATCCACATTCATAAGTTGGGGTAATTTGCCTCCTTCATGTCCTTTAAAACCTTTAACCATGTTCTCGGCATCAACTACAGCAGGTAAGTCATTGGGAACTATAACCACGTGCACATTTTCATTCCCTTCTCCCTTATTGGCATAACCCTCTGTTGAATTTACATAAACAGCAGAGTCCGTTTCTTGAGCAGCATCCCCCTCTATTTGAGTAGCAGCAATAGAAGAATGCACAGGTTCAACTGATTTAACTTCAGGGGAGAGATCATTTGAAGACATTCCAGAGACTAAATCATCTGTATGGCCTTCCTTCAATTGAAGGACTTCTGGAGCAGGCACAGGCTGTGAAGTTACATCCTCCAGCTTCAGTAACTTGGATGCCACCTCAGATGCATCCTCTGCATTTTCATTGGTTGAAACCACTACATCCGATAGCCGTCCGTCTAATTTAGTTCCTTCATTTCCTTTTGCATCAGTCTCTGGCAAATCCTCAGAAGTACCACTCTTCGTATACTCTTGTGATGCATCTATTTGTGTTTCAAGTTTGATGGGGATTGAGTCACGTGCAGAACCTCCATTATCATGGCTATGCTCAAAGTCAGATTCTTCAGTTCTACATTCTGTTAAAGATCTAGTCATGGAGCCAATGGTAGCATTCGAGTCATGCTCCAGGGACCCATGTGCACTTCCAGACAGATTACTTACTGGAACTTCAGTACTTTGCATTTGGATGTGGTCGGCTGAATTGCTTGGAGGTGGGCTGGTAACTGCATTGATCATAAAGTAACAATCAAATCAGCATGCTTGATGGATATAAAATTTAACCACCTTAAATCCACAAAAAATCTTTCTGTCCCCTCTTTTCTGGAGAGGAGTATTGTGAGTCCGTTGTTATGTGACTGCAAGATCTGAATCAATGCACACATTGAATTACTTGTGCACATCCACTCAGAATCTCATTAATTTCCTTCTTCAGAAAAGGGGGAGAAAAAAGGACACTTATTCAGAAGAATAATTTATAAAACATCTTCATGAGAACAAAACAACTACTAAAATTTATACAGCTTGAATACATAAAAGAAATTAAAAAAAAAAAAAATGAACCACCAAATAAAGATTCATCAACCAAAAAACACGTGCAGCATGTATAATAGAGTGTAATTACCGCGCATCTCTATGCATTGTTAAGCAATATAATATATGCCTGTATCCATACACTTTAATATATAAATTATTGCAACATTTCTTACGTCCAATTCTAAACAATAAAATAGAGTCCTTTCTAATGATATCACCGTTCTACTCATTCTCTATATATTTCATTGTCTCCTGTTTGGCTCATTTGTAAGGTTGAGCTGTTTTGCAAAGAAATTGAACAAGATGTTCAATAGCTAAGCCTTCACCATAAAATACATAACCGACAGCAAAGCTACATAGTGTTAGGTAACAGCGAGAAGAAGAGCATACACAATATTATTTTAAGAGTAAACTGGCATACTATGGTGTCTTCATTGTCTTACCAAAGTTCTTCCTTTATAGCACACACACACATATATTTGGTGTGTGTGTGTGTGTGAGTGCATGCATGCCATTGTGTGTACATAGGCATGTATGTCCACGTGCACACATTTGCATGCATGTTTTATTTGGGATCATTGCTAAATTTCCATAAATAACATACATATGCATGTGCACACATTTGCATGCAGGTTTTTATTTGGGATTATTGTTAAATTTCCCTAAATAACATTGGAAGATTGCATAAAAGAGGAGCTTAGGCCGAGCGTTTGAACAATGCATGTTTTTATTTGGGATCATTGCTAAATTTCCATAAATAACATACATATGCATGTGCACACATTTGCATGCAGGTTTTTATTTGGGATTATTGTTAAATTTCCCTAAATAACATTGGAAGATTGCATAAAAGAGGAGCTTAGGCCGAGCGTTTGAACAAAATGACAATTTTAGCACAAGACATGGACTTCAGGACTAAAGCCAAAATCAACTTCAGACATATGATCCAAGGAACTCATCCCAGTCAAGAGTGAACATTATTCAGCCCTACAACTCAAATTAGATTGGCAAAGTATACCAAAGCCACTCAATTGGAATAACTGCAGCCAATATTACCACTAATAAAACCTACTCAAAGTAATAATAATTCAGACACAGGCAATTGGTCTGCCTATGCTCTTTCTTGTTCCTACTGATAAAACACAACCACCCTTCTAGACAGGCACGTCCATAGATCTATGTCATGAAAACATCCCATGCAATCATTTTTCTATTTCTTCTAGATGCCACCTCCATCTCCCTATATGTGCAGTTATTTTAGTTATTTGTATAAAAGAAAAGAAAAGAAGATTAAATTACCCCAGAGAGTTCTTACATGCCTAAAATTACATCCAAAGCTAACATCTTCCATGAATAAAATGCAATATTTAAAAAGAAAATCTCCATTTAATTCCTTTCCACTATTTATGATAATCGCACCTCAGCTTCGTGGTTTCCCTATTCCAAACCACTCAAACCCCATGCTATCAAAACTCTTCACCGCCAAATTACAATAAGACAACCAAAATTGAAAAGAAAAATTAATTACACATAGCAAACCAGATGCAATCCAAATATATACAATCCAACTATGAACCCCCAATGGCTTCTCATTAACCAGTCTCCCAAATGACACATGACAGTGCCAATAAGCTTGAGACGAAGCATGTCAAACAAGATCAAAGAGCCCCAGTGGTTATATCTAAATTTCTTGAATCCTAAAAGTTTTTGTCACAATTAAACCTTCTTGCGTGCCCTACCTATCAATTTAAGATCTCAATTGCAGGTTTAGTCTTATGTCCTAACAAAAAATTCTACTTACCATCATATAGCACACTCCATGGATGCCTAGTGGCCTGTTTGACCAATCCTACCCATCACTTAAATGACTCGATCATACCCAAAAATGCAATCTCAGTGATGAAATGTAGCCTATTTTGAAAAATAACTTAAAACATCTCTTAACAGAGAGAGTTGCAATAAATTAAATGACAACTTCCAACCAGCATTGAATATTGCAGCTACCAAGTTCATATTATTCTTATTATACGCTAAGATGCAGACAAAAAGGCACAAATCATTTAATTATCTGGTCCCATTAAAAACTTACCAGTAGTTGAACCATCCTCGGATGATTGAGTGGCAGCTCTATTGATTTCCAGGATAATTTCTGGTTCTTTAACATCACCCATATGCTCTCCCATCCCCGAACTAGATCCGCTTTCAGGAAATTCTGCGTTGGCATCCTTAAAAACCTCATCTTCTGATTTACTTGATCTGTCCACTGATCCACCGCTACCCTTCTCATTACTAGTTCTCTCCAAACCTTTCGGACCTTGCAATGCCAAATTAACCAATATTCAAGAAAAAAATGTAATGTTTCTCTCAAACAGAGACGAAGTACAAATCTTTATTTCAACTTATCCTTAAGCAAGTCTAAGACTCCCTAAAATAACAAAATCCAACATCCAAAACACTAAATTCATTCTCTTGCCACATTCTATAAGCAACAAAAAAAAACACAATTCTATGGCAAGATTCTCACTAGGGGTTTTAGGATCTTCATCAGAAACATGGTCATCGTCAGAAAGAGCCGAGAGTGAAGTCTCCTGAGAGTCAACAAACTTGTATCCTTCAAGAGTTCCACAGATCTTCTTGTGTGCACGCCTGTGTCTTGCACTTGGATGTGGGTTTGGAAAGGGCCACCCACATTTGTGACAGACATAGACTCCATGGCTCTCATGCCCTGCAAATTTCAACAAAAACCAAGGGAATTTCATACGCGCAAACTAAATGAAGAAAGTGAATTTTCACAAAATGCTAATGAATAAAAAAAAAACAACCCCTAAATCTTTTTCCCCAGAAATGTTGAAGAAACCCAAAAAAAAAGAGAGAGAGAGACATCAATAAGGAAAAAAAAACAAACAAGATTTAGAACACACAGATTCTATATTAATACTAAAAAAAATGAAAACCCATTTATTAAAAAAAAAAGGAGCAAAAGGGTGAAATCAAGAAACAAACCTGGTGTATGTGTAGGTGTAGGGTTCTTTTTGGGATCTTGGCTATCCATTTTCAAGAGTTGGAGAAAGAAAGAGAGAGAGTGTGACTTTGTGTAGACTGAGAGAAAGAAATAACAAAAAAAAAGTGGACTAAGCAAAGGGGAAATAGTTTTTTTATACAATAAAGAAATGTGTGTCGTTTTTGGGTTTTGACAGAGAGAGAATAGCAGAAAACAGGAAGTGTTTTGGATTTGGGTCGGGTCTAAAATCCTGAACGGAAACGGTGACAGACCTTGATGAAATGATTAACGGCATTTGCCCCCACTGCCCCATCCTCTGTTGCATGGTAAGAGCATCTCCAATGCTCTCTTTATATTAAGATTTTTTTATAATAAAGAGGCTTGATTCAAATTTTATCTTCAATGCTCTCTTTATCACAATCTTTATCTTTAAAATTAGTATAAAGAGTGTCTTTGGCTCTCCAATACTTGAGAGTCCAAATGACTCTTTATCTTATATTTTATTAATGAAAATTACTATTTCCAATGCCACTCAACTTCTTCACCAATAGCCTTTATGGGTTTTATAGATTTTATCAAAATAAAGAGTTAAATACGGAGTAGCATTAGAGAGGGTATTGATCTTCTATCTATATAATTAATGATACTCTCTATTTACATTAAAAATATTAGCTAAAAGTAAAGAGCACCATTGGAGATGCTCTAAGTCATGGAAATACTCGGTTAAATTACCGAATCAACCTAAAAATTTATATTATTAAGTGAAGTCCGATATAAGTATAAACGTAACTATAAAATTGAAAACATAAATTATTAGGTGAGGTCTGATCCAAATGTAAAAATAATTATTGAAATTGAAAGAATTACGGAAAGAGAAGAAATCCATACCGATAGAATTGAAAGAGTTGCAAAGAGAGAAATGATCAACATATGTCGGCAAATTAACTATTAATCGATCGGGGAAGAGTTGTTCGTGCGAAAGATATCACGTGAGCATGGCACGTGTAGCAGTTTGTTATGCGAGTTGGAGAGATTGTTAAAATCAAGTAGCAATAGCCATTTTAGTCATTCATTAAAAACTTGGACATTTTCTCTCTAGTTCATCTTGTGTTTCCTCTCTATTGAATAATTCTTGTAACTTTTTTTTGTTTTTTTTTTTTGACTATAAATTCATGGATTTCTGTAAGTTCTTTTTGCATTAATTGATTGAACTCGATTTTAATTTTTGAATTGTTTTAGAAATTGCATTTCAACTTTTAGTTCTTCTCATTGAAAATTCAAGTGTATCAAGATATCGATCTTTCAAAAATGGTTTTACATTACTCCGTAGCATATTTCTTCAAAAAGAAGTCAATTAAACTTAAAACTTGTACAAATCCACACTCGGGGTGATGAGATTCGAAATCATGACCACTTAATCAACAATTCAAAAATTTTATAATGTCAAAAACCCATATCAATAAAAAAATTTAAATTGTTAGGTGTGGCTCGAGAAATAGTTTCATATGACTATCTAACATATACGATAAAAATTTTATAATCGTGTGAATGTAATATTTATCATGAAATGAAAAATATAATAAAATGATATCTTCAAACCAATTCATCAAAGCTAAATGTTTTACCAATGCAAATTTTTTATACCGGCATAATGTATTTAGAAAAAAAATTATTTTATGTATTGTAAGATTTCAAATTTAGAAAATAGTAAAAAATAAAAACAAAAACAAATTTTCTTGATCACTGAAATTATATCTTGACCTTGAAGTTACATAACCAACTTTTGTTTATTAAATTATTTTTCACACATAATTAAACAGACTATCAACATCTAGAATAATGTATGAAATAAAATATATAACTTGTGTTAAAATTTAGATATCATGTTCCTTAGTCACTATATGAATGTAAAGCCTTTATAGTAACGTTTATCCATTAGTTAAACTTGAAAGCATAATAAATTACGTTTAGATAAGTTTTGATTGATCATCTAAACCTAAAAGTGTAATAAATTGCATTTAGATAAGTTTTAATAAATCACAAAGTGCTAACATATTCATAAACAAGCATAGAGTTGTAAGTGAGGTTTAAAATTTTATTATTGATCAATATTTTTAAGAATTTATTTTTAAAACATACAAGATGATATATTGAAGAGTATTTTTTAGTCATATTTAAGAAGGGATTAGTGTTAAGGTGCGCAAAACCAACTTTGAAGGTACCTGTGCTGGCAAACCAAAAAAATTATAAGCTTCGATAATTATTTATTGGCACATTGATATTCTTGACTTTTACTTTTCACTACTTTCGTACAATATTAAAAAGTTGGTTACTCACGTGACTTGCTGTGACATTAGAATGCCCGCCACCAATTGAAAGAGAGCCCACGTTAAGATGATAATGCCAACATTCTATCCAAACACAAAACGACAAATAATTTCTTAAAATTTACGTTGCTTTGAAGACTAAATCTGGCTTTTTATTCACAACTCTGCATAAGACACGAACACTAAAAAGAAATGCTTGATTTGGATCCCTATTTGTTTTTATTAATTACGATCAGGGAAGGTCAAATGATGTGGGCCTTCCCAACTAGCAGTGTCTTATACAGGGTAGTAACTGAGATGAGATAAAATGACAAGCAAGTCAAGATTATTGGTGGTGTAGGATCATCCATTTTATCCTTTATATGCCATATCTGGTTCTGTTAGAGGGTAGGTGGTGGTGCTGCTGGTGTGCTGGGCCAAATCTTTTTCTTCTGTACGAGTTTTTCTACATAAATTCTGGATTACCAATCCAATATGATTGGATTCAGAATCTCATTGAAGCGCGACAACACCTCATCGTATTTTTTATTACCCTTGTTAAATCTAAATCATTTAATTAAAATTTAATATCTAATAAAGATAGTAACCACTTAATTTCTCATATCCTATTTATATTATTATATAATTCAAATTGTCCAATTCAATAATGAATGGCTATTGGCACATACACGCTCATTTTTTGCTTATAAAATGATTAAAATAACCATATTGACGTATTAACACATTTATTTACTCTCTCTTTTCATAAAGACAATCTCCTTTGATTTTTTACACAATGTCAAATTATTAATTGTCATGTTTTATTAGTATTTTTTTCATGTTTTTTAAAAATATTTATTTTTTAAAAAATTATTAATTATCAAATTTATTTTTGCATTACATGTGATCAATATTAATTAAAAAAACCTATCCAGAATTTTAAAAAAAATAATAAAAAAAAGAAATAAGTTTAAAATAATTATGGAAAGATAACACAATGATGAAAATATTTTACTCTAAAAATTTCGACATAAATTTTTTAAAATAAAAATTACTGTTTGTATGTATAAAAAAATTATTTTTTTAATGAAAAAAATAAATGAAAGAAAGAATTGATTTTTTTATTAATGAAAAGTATTTTTAAAAAATTTGTATTGTTTAAAATTTTGATTATATAAATATTTGGAAAGGTATATAAATAAAAAATAATAATTTTGTAAAACAAAACGAATATTATCAATCCCTTAAAAAAAAAGTTTCTTTATATGGAAAACCACAAAGACACCCGCCCTGTGATCACGATAATCAGCAAATGGTGATGTCTGGCTAACCAAGATTGAGTTTCCCAGTAAGACTCGGAGATTCGAAAATTAATTGTAGAATAAGTTTTTTCGATGAGAGGATGGGTTGACAGTTGACAGGAAATCAAAGAGGAAAATAAAGACAACAGTATTGTTTAATCATCCGTGCCCTAATCACCATTTGTCAATTGTATGTAACGAATCTCTTAGACACAACAATTGAATCCATATCAACGGTGAGTTAAATATAAAAAGATCTAATTATATAAAAAGAAAAACAATATTTTAATTGTAATGTTTCGTAATCACCTTATCAACATATAACCGTTTAATTAATCGTACAGTACAACTGGATATAATAGTCATGATATTGTTACAATTTTTATCTTACAAGTAATTGTTTAATTGATTGAGTTTTATAACTTACAGAAACTTCATTTCGTAAAGTCTTTTTTCTATATAAATCCAAAGGCATTAGATCTAGACACCTGCATGACACGTGGCTACGGTGTTCTTTCCCTTTCTCTTTTTACAAAGGGGTAGGATCTTTATGATTTTACTCTCCATTTTCTTCCTCTGGAAACACCCAGGCCTACCTATAATGATCTCGAGCTTCTTTGACTGCGAAAATTACTGGATTGCCTAAATATATGTAACGTAATTATCCATTATACGATATATTATTATCATACATTATATTAAAAAAGAACGATTAAAACACTATTCCTTTCACCGGCTACCCACACAGTCATTTGGTTTATTTCTTTCACTCAAGTTCATCAAAATTTTTGTATTTTGGGCCGTCATTATTTTTAAAAACTTTCGTTTCAATCTCAAGTTTCATTTATTTTTCATTTTGGTCCCTTTATGCTAAGAGTAAAGAAAAACGAAAAACGAGAAAATAGAGACAAGGACAGTAAAACCTTTTTCGGCCATCTCGATCATCAAACTCAACACTAATGTGTTTGTCTGAAGAGTCGAATTTTTTTATGGTGGTTATAAACTATCAAATGGTCAGATAAGATAGATCGAAACTTGAAAATATTTTTAGTTTTAATTTTTTTGGGTTTTTTTGTCTATTAAAATAGGTTTGAGACTCTAAGCGAATTTGTTGATGTTATTTATATAATTTTGAGATGTTTTGGCAAAAAATGAGGCTGAATTTGAGTTTGAGAGGACTGAAAATTAAAAATTCGTTTTTTTGATAATGTTTCTGGTTAACCACAATTCATCGAAAAATTTAGCATCCCGTTTCTTTTTCTTTTTTTTTTGTAAGTCTAGTTTCCGTGAGCCTGGAACCAAATCCCAGGGCAAGTAGGCCTAAAGTAAGGCCCAAGCGTGCTCGCAAGCTTGCTCTCTAGCTAGTTTTTTTTTTTTTTTTTTTTTTTTTTTTAATAATTGATATTTTTAATGGATTTTTGGGCAAAAAAAATTAAGAAAGATC